TGGTTTCATTCGCTGACTTAACAGTGGTAAATGCCTTGTTTAGTAACACATCAAACAAGCGCTGGATGACTTTTGTACTAGAGTTTACAATACAATACAATATTCTTTATTTAACGAAGGTGACGTAATTAACCCAATGAGTTATCTAACTTACGGCCTTCAAAGCAGAACAAATACATATATAAAATAATGAATAATCAGCAAATCGACTTACTACGAGAGTGACTAAAACTAGAAATTGTATGGTTTAACACAGATATAACATGATATAAACAATTACCTTCTAACACATTTCATCAACAAGTTTAAAAAAACGTCGGCATGGATGGTGAGATCACAAAATTTTCAAAAAACTTAAGTTCATCAAAACACAAACCCGATGATCCGATGGGCATTTTTCTTTTGCTGTTGTCCCAAACGCGGCTTTCGTCCAACATATTTCCTCAGCAAATGCTCTTGGACATGATGATGTAATAACTATTGGATACAAACAAATATAATAGGACTTAATTCCAGAGTTCTTCATTTCCCGTTTTTAGAAAACAAATAATACTTAAATAAATAAATAAATATATAAATAAATAGAGGTAACATGACGAAGGTTGTTCGAGATATCTTCTTTTCATGCAGTGAAATAATATAATTATGATAATAGTAATGATAATAGTAATGATAATATTAATAATAACTATAATGTTGATAATAATAATAATAAAATAACAATAAAATTTTACACTTTAGAATTCCTTGTTAATTATGTGAACAGAAGACTCACGATTTCTCGAGGAAACTGTTTCTGGAAACTCTCAAAGAGATGAATCAAAATTGACCATCCTTTTTTATGAAAGAAATGTTACCAGACATCTGACCTTCCAATAATTCAACAAATTTCCTATTCCTTAGGAAATTAGAAAAATCGGGATTCTTCTCTATTTGACCAAACTGAAAAAGACTGTTTCTCAGCAACAGAGTTAATGTTTGTCAAAGCGCCTGTTTTAAACCCATGCAAACGCATTTCACTTGCAATAAAGACGCGTTTTGAACGGGTTGAGGCGTGTTTCATCCGCACTGTTGACACCTTACACGTATAAGGAAACCCATTTCAAACGCATTAAATACGCATTTTCACTGCGTTTGCAACGCGTTCAATTTAAGTTAAATCTCACTTACTCACACAGCCTCTACCATTCACAATCTGACCCTGTTTGTCTTCGCACTGATTACAACGCCTTCCGACCACATTCTTCCCTCCCCTTCGGCCTCTAAGACAAGGGCACTGGCCATTCTCTGTAGCACACTGATCACCAGCACTACCAATCTCTTCACAGTCACATCTAAGACAGCCATCAATAAACACAGGGGCACCCCGAGAATGTGTAGTTTACAATCTTTCAATAGTGCTTTGCCTGGACAAAAACAAAATGAGAAAAATACTTTAAAAAAAGCACCGATTTCCAATTGCGTAACAAGTGAATGAAAGACACATTAGCATCAGAACTGAATTCTAACACAGTAGCCGCGGTTTACAGGTGACGAAAATTGCAAGACCACATGAGAGCCATTCAGTGGCTTTCTTTCAGACACATCGCCTACTACAATATACTTTTCAGCCCTGTTTCCTATACCAATCAAATAAAGAATGATGCAAATCGCAAATAAATCGGTAGAAAAACCTGTTCTTTTCGACGAAATGTAAAAGCACACATAAAAAAAAACTTAATATCCCCCCAGACTGCAAACAATTCTCCTTTCCCGCCTAAGTCCATGATGGTAGATTAAGGAGTCTTTTCTTCATTTGTTCATTTGTTTTCTGCATTATCGCTTTTTCCCCCATTGATTTTTCCCTCGTTCTCCTGACTTCTTAAAGAAAAACAGAAACTGCTCTGATTTTTTTCTCTGGTTTAGACTCTCGAAACTTTCCACGGTTTAAATAAAGCTCATCTGAAAAGCTTCTTCTATGTGGTACTTACATTACAGTAGCACTCTCCTGTAGACTTGTTACAAACTGGACTCATATTCATTCCCCACTTCACATTTACACGGACCACAGACGCCTATACTTGAAGCACCAAAGTACTTATCTCGATAGGGTATCTCCATGCGGACCTCACAAAATTCCCCTAAGAAATTATACAAAACATTAAAACTCTAAATTTAAGTGAATCTTGAGTTCAACAGCGAGAGATTTGCGTTGCATATCGGTAACTGGTGAATTCGCCCCACAGCAAATTCGCGCCTAATCACCAGTACCAGTTCGCCCGCAAATCATTAAGATTTTTTAATTTGTTTACTCGCCCTGGAGTGATTTTGTGGCTTTGCATTACTCGTGCATTAGTCGTCCCTTTTAACACAGCTAGGAATTTGCATGTTGATCGAACGTCATGGTTTCGCTGTAGAAATCATTGAGAGTTAAACATGTCTCACATTTGACCCTATTGTAAAAAGATCCTTCGAGATTGTCCTCAAACACCAAAATCTACGCGCGCCCATGTATTATTCG